AAGACTTGAATATTCCGACTGCCAATTAATGGGTCTCGAAATGTTTTTCTTAAATGAAATACTGACAAACCACAAATTTTAGGCTTATAAAATCAATTTTTTTAAAATTTGAGTCGTTTATGGAAGTAATAAGAACAATTAGCTTGACTCAATTTAAATTAGAACAAATATAAATGCAAATAATTTGCCACCCGTAAATAATTAGCGTACTGAAACAAACTATCAAAATATTATTCCAGCAGCAAAACCGCACCCAAGCCATGTGCAAGCATACTCGTTTGGCAATCACAAAATTTCCGGATCGATGCCCACAGGCAGGGCAGTCTGATAATACACAGCCATCGTTATGCTTCCATCGCTCTGCAAACAAAACAAGTCAAATAGTGGATTTAAATCAGAATTCAACGAAAATGTGAGACATATCCGTGTATCAATCTTAAATAAAATTTGTTTATTGTTCTGCTCATCTGAATGATTTTTTTTTCACCTGATGTATGAAAAACGTCTCTCATTTTCGGTATAATTGCAAAAATTTGGTGCCACTAATGATCATGAATGGATAAGAAATGGATTGCAGTCGAATTGCAGTAGCAAAAAATTTTAAAAAATAATCAATTTGAATTGATTTAGTGAACTTATCTAAAATCGTTCTAAATAAAAAAGTCACCCGGGCATATATATTCCGTTCTTTATTCGAAAGTTGGAACAACAAACAGCATAAAGAAAAAAGAAAAAGACAAGCGAAGATCATATTCTAATGTAACAATTTATCATTCAGTATTGTAATGCAAAAGAAAAATCAGGCTAAATTCTATGCTCACATCTTTAATATCAATCTCAAACAAAAAATCCTTGTAAGAAAATTTTTAAAAAATAACTGTAGCTACAGTAGTACAGCAACTAACAGCATTTTCTTCGTTTATCACCCTTCGCAGCATTTTCTTGGTTTTATCACCCTTCGCTTATGCAATCTTTTTTTACCAATGTATAGATAATCATATTTTGATGATTTTTTAGAGAGGAAGTTGAACTTGGCTTTGAATTGTATATGAAAAATTAAATCTTCCGCCGTTCTGCAAAAAAAAACAAAACAAATACTGGTTTGAAAACAGAATTCGACGAAAATGTGTTACATATCAGTGTATCAATCATTAAAAATTTTTGTTTATTGTTCTGCTCATCTGAATGATTTTGTTTCCACCTGATCACTAAAAACGGATCTCCTTTTCGGTATAATTGAAAAAGTTTGGCGCCACAAGTGTTCAAAAAAGGTTCAAGTATTCTATTATACCCTTCCTGATAAGTAATCAAGAAATGGATTGCAATCGATTTTAAACTTATATTCTAGCAGAAACCTAAAATTTATCGATTTGAATCAAAATAGTTTGATACAAAATATAGCTGAAAAATCATTTTCAATAAAATCTAAATTGATTGAAATCCTTTTTTGTTTACTTTTTTTGTTTTGTTTTCCTACGATTTTTAGTAAAATTAAACTCGAGTTAAACCGGTTTTTTACCAATTTTTTGTTTGGTCAGTTTTTACAGAACATTATCATTTTTTCTAGTTTGCGGTTTAAAACACTCCTCGAGCTTTTTTTGCTCTATATAGATCCAGACAAAGATTTTCTTGGCTACACAATTTTGCTTAAGCTTAGAAGCAAAAAAAATATTTGAGTTAAATGAGTTTTGTTGAGATTTTAAAGATTTTCACTACATTGCGAAAACCCTTCAAATCCATTTTTATGTTAAAAAAATCATCACTTTTTTCCATCGAAAAATCCATTTGTTTCATTCTATATCAATTTACGTATGTATATTGGCTTTTGTAAACCGTTTTCTAGACAGTATTTTGTCAGTATAAAAACTGATTTAAATCGATTTTATTCACAAGTTTGTCAATGCGGGTAGAAACTTCAACCTAATTCAGTATAAACGCTCAAAAAGAAATAGCAGGCACTATAATTTTAATAATATGATTAATCAAATCGTTTCTAAATATTTTTAAAAAGAAATTTTATTAGTAGTTAGTTGTGTTTGTTTGATTGTTTGTCTTTTGTTTTGATGATTTTGCTGGCCTGGTACTTTTCTAAGTTTTTCCCAATCACGTTTTACCACTTTATGACATCATGACACCCATATAAGTTTATCTGCACTTAAATTTTTTCAATCGCGTGACCAAGCCGATATTCAAAAAATTTAAGGTGTAAGCGCAAATTTCAATGGAAAAGCTCAACGAGAACTACCAGATGCTCTTTTTGAGATTTCTTTGTAAAGTGTATTTTGATTTGGCAAAACAAGGTTTTCATAATTTTTTGACAGAGGTCAAAAAGTTATACTGTTTTAACTGAAAGTACTTTCAAAAAAGTTTGCAAAACCACCGCGATCTCTTTGCGAATTCCTTAGCAGTAGCTTTTAATGAAAATGATCCTTATTGCACAAAAAAATAGATTTACATGGAAATATAATAATTACGAAAAAAGAACAAGATTTACAGTTGATGCTACAATAGAACAAGATTGCTCGTATCGAGGTAAAGTCGAAAATTCCGACTACCTTTTAATTGGTTTTAGGCTGTTAATGTCCAGTTTTAAGTGTTAAAATTTCAGTTGTATATGAAAAATGTTCGACCGAGCAGCTTCCTTCAATTCAATTTAAACCAGTTTTTTAGCGCGGGATATATTTCGCCAGGTGTAACTAATTTGCATTAATTTTTCAGCATAAAACGATCAGCAAAGTATATAGCAATTACCTTACTTAGACTAGCTTCAATTCGAACAAGCTAACATAGTCGTATATTAGTATGCGCGCACAACAGGGACTATGTAGGTCTGTGGATTAAGCCCTCAACTGATCCAAAAAAAATCTGAATCATAAAAAAAACCCAGGCATTTGAAAGTTGCAACAAAAATCACCTGATGCTGCTGTAGCCCACGTCCCCCAACCCCACGCTTACAACTCCCTCGCCGCGCTTCAATGCCATAGCCCACTTCCAAATATCCAGGTAAGGGCGCTATTTGGAGTCTGAGGGGTGTCTAAACGCGGAGAGGGAAAGTTGGGTGAATAGTACTCGCAGGAGGGATTGAACACGCATGTTATATAAAAAATAGGGCAGCCGGTTACTGTGCAAGTAGCACAGATTGTTTTGACCAGTCTTAAAAATTTTAAAAATATGAAAAAGGTTTTACTAAAATTTACAACAGTCATAAAAAATAGGCCAGTTGGAAAAATCATTACAAAAACGAAAAAAAAAACGTTCAAAAAAAAAACAAGTTTTTTCGATTTTTTTTGCAAAAACCGGTTTTAATTTTTAAAAATCTCTCAATGGTTTTGATTCTCAAAATAGCAAAAATTAAAAAAAAAAATTTACTTGTTAATAAACTTTACACAAATAAGCTATTTGTAGCCTGCTCGTTCATCTTATTTGCTCGAAATTACATCAATAAAAAAATTTCAAACATGTTTTTCTCGATACTGAGAAAAGTTTTTGAGCTTGGAAATTGTCTTTCGAATCTGGGCTGAAAGGGCTTGAATATGGTATATCACTCTACACTTTCCGATGATTGCTCGTGGAAAACTAAAAAACTAAAAAAACACCAGAAGCACAGACTGTTGAAAACTTTGCAAATAATTTGCAAAAAATTTAAAGACTATAATTCACAAAAATAATCGATTATAATGACAATAATGGATTATAAAGACCACTTTGTAGACTACATTTTCCCATTATAATCATCTTTCATCCATGAAACTCTGGTGCGGATAAAACTGTGAATAAAATATTACTCAAAAAAGATCGCACTGGGAGAAGAAAATTGTATGAACCTGATCAAATTGACTAAAAATAAATAAATTGTAAGCACGTTGTAAGCAAGTTGCAAAGACATCAATTCCGATCATAGACTTCAAGTCGAAACTTAGAAGATTCTACGGTTTTTTATTGGAATAGTGGAGTTATATTGCGAAGACCCACGAATATAAAATGGTAAAGAATTAGGGCTCAATTGACAAAAACGTGATGTTTCCAAATGCTTACAAATTAATCACGCAAAACTCAAACGGTAGTCAAACAATAACTTATTATAATATTATCGAAGGTTATTGTCATTATGCAGAGATTAATTAAGGTCAAATGTAACCGGAAAATGTTTCCGATAATGAGTTTTATCAATTTGAAAACGACTTTTGTGAAATCAATTATTGACTGCACCTAAAGCTAGAGCAAAATGAATGAATGTTTTCATTCAGCCAACAATTTCAAACAGACTGTATAGAACATCCATTTAATTTCGGTGCTTCGTTATAGGCAACCTACACTCATAATTTTGATAACTTATCGTTTTTAAGAGCAGCTTCATCGACCAGGGATGATGTTTGGCCAGTAGCGTGCGAGGAAGGGATTTAGGCGACCCCCTCCCCCCCTTCAATTCTGGTTGCCACATTTTTTCCAAAGGGTACCCGTTTTGTTATAACATTACGACATCCATTTTTGGCTGTTCAGCCTCAAAGCTTTTCCAAAGACGCTTTCCGCGCCAACATAAATCAACTTGAGGGAGGAGCGCGCGCCCAAAAAAAGTCCCATTTATTGAGCAATTATTTTGAAAAGTGCTCAAAACGTCATTTTCAACCTAATTTTTTTTTTCAAACATTTGCCTGCGACACAGAAAATTTTTGACAAAATAGGGTTCTTATAGTATTTTCGGAGAGCTCGGAAAATCAAATTGGTCAGCCTAAAAGAAGTAGATAAAAATTTCAAATTTTTTTTTCGAAAAACCGGCGTTCTCTCGAAAAATTTCTGCGCACTCCACTATGTACAACTTTTTTCATGACGTAATGCAATTTTTGTAAAATTGTGGATTGATAAATGTTGCTTCAATGTCGCTACTAAGCAGCGTGTAGAGGTTATAGCGATTCTCCATTACGATTCTCTGTTAACTTTATCCCTTTTTACAGTGCGACTCAAAGTTCCATTGATAAATGTGTTGTCTTTGTTGTTGTCAGGAGAGCCGATCAACTGCTGGTGTCCCGCACACTTCTCGCGTGCGTGGGTGGAGTACACGAACAACATCTGCTGGATCTCGAATACCTACTACTCCCCCATGGACCGGGAAGTCAAGTTCGCCAAGTCCCGCGTGCACAACGAGATAAAATACTACCAGTGGATCCCACTTCTGATATCAAGTGAGTCACCAAAGTAAAGGTTTGAGAAAAAACAATTGGAAAAAAAATTTCAACAAACAAGACTGCTCGTATCAGGGCGAAGCCCTGAAATGTCCGACTGCCTTTTAAGGTTTATGGAGCAGTAAATACATAAACAACATAAAAAAATTAAATGAAATAAATAAAATGAAAAACTGTTTTTCTAAAATTTGAAAATGTTATATGAAAATCATCCCCCCACACGCCACATAAAGTACAAAACAATAGATTTCGCTCCTTGCTTGTAACAAATCAATTATGGCAAATAATCTTCTTTCAACCAATTTGGAACGATTTCTAAGACGGATTAACTCTCCGCTTACGCGTTAATAGAGCGAAAGATATCGCGCGTTAATTGTCCCAAATTGGCCAAAATAGCAATCTTTAAACCCCCATAACTCAACGAAAAATGATCACAGGTAAAAAAAGTTTTTCAAACTTAAGCTCAAGACAACAATACCATTTGAATGATATAAAAAAATTCCGTCAAAATGGGCAGTTAAAAAGTCGAAATTTGTCTGAAGAAAAAAAATCCTCCCCGAGCACAAATGTTCCGTTACTTTCGTATCAAAAGTCGGAACAACAAATTGATTAATTTTTTTAAAATTAACAAACAGTTATTTCTAAATAATATCCAGTTAGTCTTAGTAAAGGTTCGAGAAAAAAATTGACAAGTCGTATAATTTAGAAATATAATTGATTAAATTTGTAAAAAACTAACAAACAATTATTAATTAAAAAGTAACAAGACTGCTCGTATCAGGGCGAAGCCCTGAATAATCCGACTGCCTTTAAGGTTTATGGAGCAGCAGTAATAACATTTAAGAAATTAAATGAAATAAAATAAAACTAAATTTTTTTTTCTTAAATTTGAAATTTTTTATGAAAATCATCCCCCCACACGCCATATAAAGTACAAAAAGAGAGATTTCGTTCCTTGTATTTTTTCTTTATTTTTTGTGCCAGCCAAATTACAAATTATTTTTTCCAAAAAAAAATTTTTTTTGCAAACCTAATGCAAACCAATTTTTTTTCCGAAAATTTGTTTATTCTTTTGCAAACCAAATTATAAACTAACTTTTTCCAAAAATTTGATTTTTTTTGCTAACCAAACGCAAACCATTTTTTTTTCTGTTTTCAGTCCAGGGAATTATGTTCTATATCCCACGTGTGGTGTGGAAGACCCTCTCATTGTCTGCGGGAATAGACGTGAGCAAACTGGTCAACTACTTGTCCACTTTCGAGAGTGTCCTTGACCCCGACAGGTGGGAGAAGACACTGAGCTACACAGCTGTTCATCTGGACAGGTTCTGCAACACACATCGAGACCTAAACACAGGATGGGGGTATGTTGTATGTCCCCGCTCTTAAAACGCCATAATTTATTAACCAAATTGGATCGAGAAAGTTTTTAGTTTGCTTCCAAATGAAGTAAAGCGAGAAGATTTTCGGTTTGTCGAGAAAGTCGAGACAGTCGAGACGTACCCATTTTTGGCCGAGAAAGTCGAAATATATCTATGCGGGGTCGGACAAATAAAGTTTTAAGAAAATGTCGGCCGAGACAGTCGAGAAAGTCGAAAAACCGAATTTTGGTCGAGAAAGTCGAAACATAAATCGGGCACCTCGACCCGGGCAGTAGAAATTATTGTAAGCCCAATAGTTAGACCGTAAAATTGGCCATGTTAAGTGAGCGGGTGGGGGTAAAAAGGCGAGGGGGGAAGAATTGCACGTTTTTTGTCTATTTTAGATTCAACTTGAAACTTTGACTCGGGTGAAACTTTTTTTAGTTCATATCTGCCTACTTTTTGACCAATACCACTTAGCTGAGCTATAAATATAGCCTTAACGTGGTACTTAGGCGGTGACTTGTTTTGTCAAAACAACGGTAGAAATGTCATTCTATAGTTGATTAGAGATCATTTGAGCGCTCCTAATAGTCTTTAATAGCTCGCTCTTTATACCTGGTACTAAAAATTTTGTATGAATTATGGTGTCTCGCCCTTGTTGGCTGTATAACTTCTCCCATTGATACCGGAGAAAAGCATGAAAAAATGTCATGACTGTCCAAAACACCAAAAATGATCAGATTAAATGAGCCAAATACGGTCAAAAACATGATTTGATCTTCCGGCTTAATTTGATTTTCTCAGTCTTTCTCACTCTATTAATAATTCCTCCATACTTGTGCCAAATATTAGGTTTACTTGTCAATCGCGATAGAATAAATACACTTTACAGGGCTATGATGTGGTCTATATACTTACAATATCTCTAAAATAAAACTCTACTCATTTAACTGCTCGCTGGGCTAAATTTTCTCGAAGTTCTCAACTTTCCCGCAATCCCAGAACTTTGCTACGTTCGTCAATTGCTCTTTCCTTGATCCTTTTTTCAAGTCATTCTCTTCGGCTAAATAATTGCGCAAGCAAATTGTTTTAATCCGGCTTCTTATCTCGGATCTGCCTTTTCAAGAGTTATCAACTCCAACCAGGCAACTTTCTTCTCTCTTCCCCATGCAAATGTAGGAACTTCTTGTTTTTTTTATCCCGCATTACAAAATCATTCCAAATTGAACTGAGGGAGCTAAATGGTTTTTTAGATGCCATACACGACTCAAATTGCAACCCTAATTTTTTGAAACTATCAATCTAAATTTTGTAGTTTTTCGAATATTTAATTCAACAAAAACTCTTCCAGACCAATTAAAGGGAGGTCGGAACAATCAGGGCTTTGAACTGATACGAGCAGTCTTGTTGAACTCAAATTGGATGTCCGTACTTGACTCAAGCAGCGATAGCCTTGTAATCTCAGCTAGATCGTTTAATTTAAAATGACCAGGCGAAGCTTCCAGCCTGAAGGTAGATGCCATAAAGACGGGCATAGTATCTTGCTCAGCAAATAATTTGCTACCTAGTTTGTAAATTTTCCCCTGCTGTTTTGACTGAAGTGTTTGCTGAAAGGAAGTGATAAGGAGTTATACCTTTTTTGATTGTTATAATTACATTAACCTTGTAAAAAAAAATTTCATCGAGTTTCCACTATAAAAATCGAAAACTTTCAGTTGGTTTTTTTCTCAGCACCTTTGGGGAAATTGGCAGTGTTGGAATGAAATCTCGCTCTTTGTCACTTACAATGCCCGGGTTGCCCACTATAAAAATGTTTGCGCAACAATACAAGTAAACATATGCTTAGTATAGAAAATTACTAATCATGCGCTGCATATGATTTTTCGAAAACCCTTAAATTAACTTTTTTTTCTGACAAAATCACCATAAGAACAGTTCCGTTTTATTTTAGATGCAATTGTTAAACTTTGAAAATTTATGGAAGTTTTGCTATCAATTATTAAATATATGCTTCTTGATTTTAACAAGACAAAATCACCTCGACTACAAAGTTACTTCATATTTCCAATGATCTGAGCATTGTAAGGATCAAAGGGAGTCTCAGCCTAACCTTAATTAAAAGTAGTGTTTTTCTTTCATGAAACTATTTAGCGGTTTGTAGCTGTTTATTAGCCCTGAAAATACGTCCTCTTTCTAGATTAAAAAAAGAAAATCTAAGATGGAAATTCTATAAATTAGAAGCGTGAAGACGGATATTAAATCCCTTTGCTCGGCGGTGGCCCCTAATTAGACAAAGATATCAAATGGCGAAACATCAAAAGTAAATTGAGAACAAATTTATTAAGTTTACGACATTCGAGAGCATCCATTTCAAAGATCGAATCGAACAGCGCTGCCATATATTTGCGGTCATTGAAAATTGATAAAATGGCTCAGAGGCATTTTTTTTTCAGGAGAAACACTATTCAAACATGACAGTTTTTTTCCAGTCGAAATCCGTTTGCGCACAAATGCATCTCTCTTGAATTGAAATATTGGTCAAAAGCAGTAGCGGATTTAGGAGAGGGGGTGGGTCGGATGGACGCTTTTCCTCTCAGGGATTCGACCCCCTGCGACCCAAAGGGTCCCCTTTGTGCTATTTTGAGATTTTTGGCGGAATGATCTTAAAAATTTTCTAAAAGCGCCTTTGGCGCCAATCTATATAAATTTTGAGGAGGGAAACGCGCGCCGAAAAAACGCAATTTTTTGGTCGAAATTTTCCAAAATGTGCCCAAAACACGTTGTTTTTTTGGCCTTTTTTCAAAAAATTGCCTTCGGCGCAGAAAATTTGGTCAAATTACGGTCTTGATAGTGGTTTGGGAGAGCTCAAAAAATCAATTTCGTCGAACTTTTGAAAATCCACCCCCACCCTTGACAAATTCGTAGATCCGCGCTTGGTCAAAACTCATTAAAGGACCAATAAATAATGATTTTGTAAACTGCTCGCATTAGATGGGGTTACAAAACAAGCTTCAAAATCTTTAATTTTATATCCTTGAGTTTTTGCTTGAAAGGATGACTTTTTGCTCCGACTTTCGAGACAAAAGTAACGGAATGTTTGTGCTCGGGATGGGTTTTTTTCTTCAGAAAAATGTCGACTTTTTAACTAGCGTTTTTTGACGGAATTTTTTTTTATCATTCAAAAGGTATTGTTGTCCTGAGCTTAAATTTGAAAAGATATTTCACCTGTGATCATTTTTCGTAGAGTTATGGGGGTTTGAAGATTGCCATTTTGGCCACTTTGGGACAATTAATGCGCGATATATTTCGCGCTGTTAACGCGTAAGCGGAGAGTAAGTCCGTCTCAAAATCGTTCCAAATTGATTGAAAGAAGCTTATTTGCCATAATTGATTTGTTACAAGGAGCGAAAACTATTGTTTTGTACTTTAAATGGCGTGTGGGTGGATGATTTTCACAGAAAAAATTTCAAATTTTGAAATTAAAATTTTTTAATTTATTTTCTTCCATTTAATCTTCTTATGCTGTTTATGTAATTACTGCTCCAAAACCTTAAAGCCCGGCGGAACATTCAGGGCTTCGCCCTGATACGAGCATTCTTGTATCGTTTGTGAAACCCTTGTAAAATTATGAGGTTAAATTTTGTGTTTGACGGCTAAACTTAATCCAGTCATATCTCAAAATATAATATCCAGAAAGGATTTAATTGACTAAGTTTTTGGCACTGTAGGCAATTTATGCAATAAAATGGCAATTTCGAGCTTCTATTTAAGACTTTTGAACATTAAAAAAACTCCTGCAACCCAAAAAAATTAGTGCGTATTGGCGCCAAATACGCCCCAAAAACATTTTACAAATGCGTTCATGAACAATAATTGCATAAAAGAGTACCAAAAGATATATTTTTTGGGAAGCAATTAGGCAATCAGACTCGTCTTTGCTCTTCAAAAGATAATCTGCTAGAAAAATGTTTTCTTGTTGTTCCGAGTTTCAAAGAAAACGGAATATTTATGCTCGGCGTGGGTTTTTTATATTCAATCAATTTTCGCCAATCGAAATAATAGTGTTTGACAATATGTTTTCATACCCCATTGAAGATATTGACTTCTTGAGCTCAAATTTAAAAAGATATTTTGCCTCCGATCATTTTTTGTAAAGTTCTGAGGGTTCGAAAATTGCCAAAATGGTCATGTTCTGGACTAAATTATGCGCGCTTTGAAGAATTTATTCAAATTGCTGAGAGCGTAACACGAAATATTTATGCGTGGCGAATTATCTTACACAACAAAATTGTTCCAAATTGACATGAGGCTAGCTAATCGGATCGGTCGTATTAATTTTGTGAAACTCAACATTTCACACTTTGATATTGTCCAAAATTTATAGGTTTTCAATGGGGGCTAGGAAATTAGACAAAAAGCAAATTAGACGAATCCAATAAAACGGAATTTAGACGTTAAATTGTTTTAACAAAGCTAGAATTTTAGACGGAAAGCAAAGGGTTAACAAAACTTATTGCTTAAAACAAGCAATAACTTATTGCTCATAATTACACAAATAGTATATTATCCCATTGCATATCGATGTATTTATCAAGTTTTATAAAACGTTAATCTCAATATTATAAAACATTTTTGATATGCATAAATTATAAAATTGCGGCCTGTGAAATGTTGATTTGCATTTAAGAAAGCTCGAAAGAAAGTTAATTGGAGTCAGTAAACAAATTTCAGATGCGAAACATACAATTACGTCTAATATCCCTTATTTGTATTACGTCTAATATCCCTTATAATCCGTTTTTGTTGGCCAGGTTTAATTTGATTTTTGTCCGATTTCCTAGGCCCAGTTTTCAATTTTTTTTCCCAAAAACTGTTCGATCTGAATTAAGAAACAGTCGAAACATTCAGGGCTTCGCCCTGATATACGAGCAGTCTTGTTTCGTCAATGACTAACTATGTTCATAGTTTTGATAGCGTTCTTAAACTAAAATCACGGGTAT